ATGAATCAAATATCTTTGGTTCTGGGTATAAAAGAAAAAACTAAAGCTAAAAATGAACATAAAGCACTCACATATGATACCTCAAAAATTTTAGCATACAGTATGTACAGTATATACTGTACGTTGAGAATGGTTGTACAAAATCAGAATTGGAAAAATCAGGCAGTATGAATGTTAACTATTACTAAGACTAATCTAATACTATCCAAGTAACACACTAAGCTACCAAACTCTATCTAAACCCTAATTGTAGAAGGCATGAAAGAGGGTGTGGAAAGACTTGGTCCAAGTTATTAAAGCAAAATAGAGCTCTATGCTATGTCACGAAGCTCTATAAAAGGAATTACAGTATTAAACTACTAAGCTATGCAAATTTGACTTATTGGAGGGGGGTAATTAGAGTGAAACTTTAAAGGGTGGATAGACTCTTAGTTGAGTCGAACTCTAGTAAGTGGCTATTTTATTAGATTTGAACATGGTAATATTTAAATGTTCAAATATTCAATGTTCAAATTTTTAATGTTCAAATATTCAATATTCAAATGTTCAAATGTTCAATATTCAAATGTTCGAACATCCCAAATAAGGCAAGGATATTTGGTTATAATTACTAGTTTCTCACTGGATATACTAAGCTTAATCTAATTTACTAAAAAGGCAACTTCAAAGCCTAATGCAAAATACATAATAAGAAAAATAAATGAAAAAATATACCAAGGATACCTATTAACCCTTCACATTCTCCCCTTCTTAAGTTTGAGTTCTATGAGAACACCAAAGTTAATTAATGTTATGCTAAGCCACCGACTACTTAGACCGAATTGAGCTTACTATCGGGTTTCTTTACTTTGAGTGAAAATTTTGCTTCATATTTATCTTTTTCAATACCAATTCCATTTGGATAACAATATCCATACTGTACATATTGTACAGATTCCACTTTCTTTAACATTCCTCTGGGGCTTCTCTTGAGTCTTATCCAGCGGGTAATGTGACGATTTCAGGTTACACTATGATATCTATCCAGGGCTTTTTCCAAGACTTATTTGGCATGTGATATGGATATATCCTTCCTTCTTACTATTCTTATAATTTTTTTTCTCTATTTATTCTTTCTTCAAGTTTTCGATTATATCTTCTTGTTTAATACAATTTTTCCTTCTCTTTGCTTCAATTTTGGGATTTGTCTTATTTTTTGGGTCTCGTTATGATTCCAATTTTTTTATATTAGATAATTTTATTGTGTTATGGTCATATCATACTCAGCAAATTTGAGATAATATGTAAACACCAATTTCGCAGTAATTCTTCAATTCTTGTATAAAATCTTGCTCATTTTTGTTTGAATCATGAATTTGCAACAATGCATACACCTTTAATTCTATCGAACCCACTTGCATAATATACAGTTGCAAATCCTACTTTTCCCATTCTGCTGAACTCATTATAATTGATCAAAAATAGGTTAAATCTTTCATCATCAAATATTTTTTTAAGTTCAGGATTGATTTGATTTGGCAGTTTATTAGTTTTCAAAAGACTTCTATATCTTCTGAACCAATAACTTGTGCTTTGGATATCTTTTTTTTTGATTTCTTTTACATTAGATAATTTATTAAATAGAATCTATTCAATTGAATCTTTATATTTCCATGCTCTAAGCTGGAAAATTTTCATGCAATCATCAATATCTTTATTTCCACCTGTCCATCTTGTTGTAATATCTGGGTCGCATAATAGACACCGTGCTGGTCGCGTATTATCTTTATTACAATGTGCATATTTTCGATATTCAGAATTTTGGCAAAGACTATTATAAAAAGAATTCTTTTTGATCCATTTCAAAGATTTATTTTTTTTCATGCCAATTCCATAAAGATAACAAGTGGCTGTTTTTCAAATTTCTATAGGATTACCTGTTTTAGCAGACTTAAAATAATATGCAAAAACTTTATGCTTATCGATTTCAACTTCAACAACTCCTAAATTATTATAATAGCCAACTTGATAAATTTTATTAGAATTATTTAATTCTGTCAATTTTTGATAATGCATGAATGCCTTGTTAACTTCAATTTCATATTTATAGCAATATCCAAGTAAGAATTCTCCATGAAAACTTTACTTTTTTGCAGATTAGTTAGGCCAAATAAATACCTGGTGTATATTAGCCTCAATTCTGATTTCATGAAAATAACAATTACCGATTTGATATATTCATTAGAATTTCTCTTATCAGGAGATTTAGGAGAATATGTAAATGCTTTATATTTATCCATTAGAATTTCTCTTATCAGGAGATTTAGGAGAATATGTAAATGCTTTATATTTATCCATTTTAACTCCAATTCTGATTTTAGAAAGGTAGTAGTTGCCAAGTGTCCATATTCCATTGGCATTTTCTATTTTCACTGATTTTTGATAATAGATTATTGACTCTGGCTCATTATTTTCAGTTACTATTAGCATATATAGAAGTAGCAGTAGGTTGATACCGAGATTATATAAATCAAATCTTGGTGTAACCAAATTGTGGGTTCTTTTCTTTTCTGTTTAGTTTGATAGTTAGATTTTAAATAATGTATATGACTAATCTTATTCTTTCTTGATTTCTGGTACTTGGTAGGTGCCTGATATTTATCCTTTTCAACTTTAATTCTACTTGATCAGTAAGTTTTTCGTTTTATTTGAACTCTTTCATCTTTATTGGGGTATTTGATCTTTTCACCAGCTTTGAATTCGACTTCTTCGATGGTAGTTACAAATTTACCATTATTTGAGCCAAACCAATTTTTAGAAATCTTGTCGCTATATGGATACCAAGTCTTATCTTCATCATTATCGGCGTCTTTAGGCTTATTGAGATAGTCATTAATCAGCTTCGGAGTTATCTTTTCATAACTAGGTTCTTTATTCAATTTGGAGATTTCTTTTTCCATTTTAATGTTTATTCTATTTCAATCATCAGAACTGATTCGAGAAGTCTTATTGTTCACTAAGACTCATGATAATCAGTGAGTGTTATATGATGAGTGCTCTTAGCTTTTATTCCATCCATTTCAGCATATTTTGGATAATCTATTAGAGCTTTCTTTACAACTTGGGTTTTATTGTTGTGGCAAAGTTTAATCATTTCTTTGCTGTAGTCAATTTTTGCTGACTTTTGCTCATATGTGAGTGCTTTATGTTCATTTTTAGCTTTAGTTTTTTCTTTTATACCCAGAACCAAAGATATTTGATTCAT